GGCGTGCTGTACACGAGAACGGAACTGTCAAAATCATGTTTTCTATTGGACGGATTGCATTGCACCGGTCTTTTATTCTGACAAAGATGAGACAAATGTATATAAGTAAATGTTTGGTGTCCTTTGCTGCTAAAACAAAGAAAGCGTGTATATTTTTGAGCGGAAACATTTCCACTTTTTTCACTTATGTTATGAATTGAATTAAATATATATTTCATGAAAAGATCTTTGTTACATCTTTGTTGCATGACAAACTTTTCTTCAATAGGATTATATACTGAAACATTTATTGACCAAGTGAATGACATTTGCTCGATAAAGCTGCTTGTAATCATCATGGTTGACCATGCACGTTTCCCGAACCAGACTTCTGTCGCCGGCCCAGGTCGTCTTTGAGATTTTTACACCAGTTTTTGCTTTGTTTAAGACTACAACTCTCCATATTTTTTGCACGTAGAATGGAATGGTTTTAATTATATTGTTTTACATAAACCCTCATTGAATTCAACAGTAATAATTCATGCTATAGTTAACTGTGTTAACCCATTGTACGGGGACATAATATACACTTTGTAGAATGTCAGATTTAAACATATTTTGAATGGCATACGTTCGTATGTTCACCATTCCATGTAAATTACAGATTAATCTGTTTTTGTTATAAAGGTTAAATTGTATCAATGTACAGACATTTGTTTGCATGTAAATAAAAGTTAGAAGTTGGTTACAGAATGAATTTACAGGGAAAAGAACATGAGATACACAAGATTCCTGTGATCAATCTATGGGTGACACGAACTTACCGATAACTATTTTATTGTACCAGAATACCATGTCTAATGTAAGTCGCGTACTAAGAGTGGATAAAAATGTTGAGTTACAGCACTGGACTGAATTACGAAACAAACAAAATATATGTTTTTAAAATTTCAGTAATTGATACAAACTGGCCAAATCAGCGGCAAGTCACACCAAGTGTGGACTTCCTTTCAAGACTGACAGAGTACTCTCCCTTCTATTGTGAATACCTTGGTAAATAACATTCACAGACGCGTGAGATTAGTGTGAAAAAACGTTTAAGAACTAGCTTCTTTTATTTTGTTAAATGTAAACATTGACACCGAACCACTTTCGGAATATATTATCAAATATGAAAACAGTATAATTATGGGACTTTCCTTGACTACAGAGTACATTGTAATATAAAATATTGTATATGATATTATACTGCTTGTTTTTCCTGTGATGTACAATAAATCCTCCACTCTGATTACAATATCATTCACAAATTTGGAATTTATATAAGACTGAAGTCAGATCAAATTTATCCCGCGATATTATGTCTACGTGGCGACTGCTTGGGAAACACCAACACGTCAAAGGCATCATATTCCCAGTTCAATTTCAATGAAATTACCGAAAAAAATATGTAAATATACCAGTATAATACGACCACGTGTTTCGGAAGTGTCAGGGTTTTACTTTACAGCAGACATCCGCCATGTACATATTGGTTAGTTCAAGTAAGTAATGTCAGGTTTTCACTTATAAACAAGGTTAAAAAATGGGATATGGACATCTACAACGTCCAACTCCATTATGTAGAAGGATATAAGACATATCCTAGTGAGATCATTATGACGACTGTAGGACTTCCTTATCATTAAAAAGTTATCGAAAACCCTTGTGTTTATTTAGTTGTTTCTAAGAAGATTGTTCAATCTATTACACAATGGTTGATTCCTATTGATTCATGACGTAGGTTCTTATCATTGCCTTGGCGCTATTTGGCAAGGTTTCTTTGACGTATATTGTAAAGGTATATATATATATATATATATAGATATAGCCACTTTCACTTATCATTGATATCCTTACTATGTGTTTTACCTATTTATACAGACAAACGTCATAGAATACATATTTTTGTTCTGTCTTTGACAGCCTTGATTTTAATGCGTTCCTTGGTATGTGAGTATGTCTGCCTATTCACATCGAGTCACACAAATATTTACATCAGTTTGAAAATTTGATGAGAAGGACACTGCATAAGAACGTCCGTAATGGCTTCCTTATCATATTTTGTTGAAACATTGTACATGATCTATTTACCTAAATAGAAAAAAAACATTGAAAATGTTGATTAGCTAGCTTTTGATAGAAATCTGAGGTTTCAGGATGCCTACAAACTTGAGAATAAGACTGAAATCGAGGCATCCCTATGATGAAATCCACTCACAGATGTTTTAGTTTATTTTCAGATATGATTAGAAATGTTTGTTGATAAAATGACAGATAAACAGATGTAATACAACGACTGGTTAAGTTAAATAGTATTTGTTTTCACTTGGGGCAGTGTTTTTCAAAAGTTGATAGAATAGACGGACTTTGATAACTAGAGATAAAAAGTTAACATCCACCAATTGTGCTAGAGATGTATTTATTAGACGTTCATTCATGCCAACATGGTCATTCCAAATGATAACGTTCATGACATTTGGTTTTGAAATATGTATATAAATGACTGTAATGAGATTTGAATGTTTTGAATGGAGGTACATTTGACAATGGTTATCTCCCTTATCAAAATCGTGACCTTTGAGTTCTTAATGTTATAAATATGATGGTAACATACGTTTATCTTACAGGAGTTGTTTTGTATCATTTGTATTGCTATTGGAATATACACTTTGTAAACTTAAACACAGTCTAAGTCACATTGAAGGACCACAATCATCCTTCTTATAAAATCCAATATAATCCAGACCCAGATACCACCAGCTTCAAAGGATGAGAGCTTCCATTATCTAATCTTAGGGAACAATTTAAAAGTATTTATAATGTTCAAAGTTGTGGCAAAGTAGGAAGGACTGGGATCTTAAAGAGAGAGAGAGAGAGAGAGAGAGAGAGAGAGAGAGAGAGAGAGAGAGAGAGAGAGAGAGAGAGAGAGAGAGAGAGAGATCCATCTACACTTCATATCATTTATATTCATATATTGTCACTGTTTCATTAATTTCAGTTTAAAGTTTCAGTTTCAGGTTACTAGAGCATAAAAACGCAGATAAGGGAGCAGAGGATATCACAGGTGTTTAATGCAAGAAAATGACACCTTCCCTTGATTTCGCGAATAAAGGAAACCATACTTGAAGCAAGCTCTCGAAACAGTACATGTGTCAGTCTCTCTAGCTATAACCAGGACTAGACAAGATCACTGTTTAGATGAGAGCGAATGCATTTGGCATAGTGAATGAACGGCTTGGACAAAAGAAACGCAAGGATCATTCAATAACATGCTTCTAAACCTTTAAACATGTATAAACCAAAATATTATTGATATATTCTTACTAATGAATATTTTAAATACTTCATGTCGATAGTAGAACGCACAGGAATATAGTCATTCAACAGAATAGCGAATGAATGAAGTATAGTTTTATAAAAGTCGCACAATGGTATTGTTTTACAATAGAGTGCTGATATTTTATGAGATACTCTCCAGCAGGAAAGTGAGCTGTACTAACACTGCATCTTGTTACATCGTGTGTAAGTAAAAGCAAAGCAAAAACGAGTTATGCTTTACTTAGCAATGATGCATGTAGTCATCGAAATTATTGTAGACAGATCTTATACTATTGTCACCTATATTATATTCAGATAACACATTTACATTTCAGATATTCTATGAAATGTAAAAACGAATATGATGCATCAATACAAAAAACAAGTATTGGATTAAATACGGATAGCGATGAAACTTATACAGCGAATAACAATACGTGGTCTGTGTACTTGTCAGTGTTTTGTTTACCTCAGTGACATTGAGGGCCTAAATTGTAAAGCATAGGAAATATTAAGGTCTAGATAGTAAGGTGGACTTTCCCATCATCTAACGACTTTTGTACATTCTTTTATCGGAAGAATTCAAAATCACATCAACTTTTCAACAAAGTGTTATTATTGCATTCTTCTAAGTAAAAATGAAATAAAAAACAAATCTGAAATCTTGTTATTCTCTCGTTGTTGATTCATAAGTGATGAAGATATGATTAATATCGTATCACTACCTAATATCAAATTATCATTGAATATATTGTATCAATTAGTCAGCATGTCTTAACTTAGGAAATTCATTAAATTTAGCTTTTCTATGTGAAAACATAAAATAAATTAGGGAAACAATATTAATCCAGGACTTGTCTAATTAAAAACGTCACCTAACGGAACATTTTTTCTTTAAAAAATCGCTGTGGTCAACAGTCTGGTTAATGCACTTTTGTCCTAATGTATAGAGGAACTGCTCATTCAATAATGAACTATGACAAATGATTGGTGGCAGGTTTAACAAATATTTAAGTGATCTGTTCAGTCATGCGTCAGAAACTTCCCCTATTTAAACTGAAATTAAGACAGATTATGTTGCCTAAAGATAAAAACGAAGGAAAATAAGGCATTGAGCGAGCATTAAGACCTAGGACCTGTTTAGTATAAAAGCCTGACACATACCTGGGGGTTGTATTGATACACACGTCTTACTAGTACTCGTTATTAAAGGTTTGTGTTAGTCCTACAACATCTACAGTGTGAGCAGCACCATATAGAACGATAGCGGAGAAAGGACAGACTACCTCTGAAGTGACGTGTTATGGTACCTGGTAGGTACGGATGTATAAATGGTTCGGACATGAGCACAAAACAACGATTTTCCTTCAGTCAATATTGACAGCCGGTCGTATTTCTATCGCGCGCTAAAAGTTGTAGGTGTACACAGTTGGATATATGGTAACACGCATTGAAACAGAGGCATTCAAGACTTATTATCAATTGCAAACTATTTTTGATTCCGTCGATGAAGTGAAAGTTTCAATTGAGTAAAAATCCTTTTTAAGTGTAAGAGGTATTGAATTCTAATGGATCCTTGTTACGGGGTGACGTCAAAGGTGGTGCTTTGAGTGGAGACTGATACACAGAAATATACCTACCTATGGTACTTAATAACCGCGATGCCCGGAGTGGCTCATTTACTGGCAAATGGTAGCAACTCTAAAGAGAGAGCCATGAAGAATCCTATGCTACTAAATAACTTTATGAAGGAAAGTACCTCGCAGGAGAACTCCTCTCCGCCCCCAATGATGGGGCTGTTATCGAGGCTCAAACAAGCTAATGAAATGAACGGCAACATTGATAAAGAAGAGCAGTTTAAAAGTCCAATGTCACCTCAATGTGTGGATGAAACAAAGAAATCATCATTTACGTCTAAGGACGTTTCCAAGTCCTTATTAGACAACTTAAAGGCTGGCATGGGTGCATCAAATGACAATCGAAAAAAGACAGCGCCTAAAGAGGCCAGTATACTCTCTAGACTGAAGTCTTCTAACACCAAGGTTGGAAACGAGTCGTCAAGTGATCGTGAAGCTTTATCTTCATCACAATCTTCGAAACAATTAAACTCAAAAAAATTAAAGAAGACAGCAACTTTACTCAGTAAAGGAAGTGTTACCCCTAAGAGTAGTATTGGAGATAGTGGAAGAATTCTGGATTATTCTGACAGTGAATTTGAAGATTCGGACTCAGGTTCAGAAACAGGTTCACCGGAACCTCCAGTACAACCATTTTGGTCTATGTTTGAAGACAGCATACTGAAAATTAACGACCAGACAGACACAATGACATTGCAGCCCCGCCCTAACTTTAAGTCAAGCGATGACTTCAAGGACGTAATGACAGGAATGTTTGGTAATACAGAATACGGACGGGCAAAGAGTTATACTTTACTTAAAGAGAAAATCAACAGATTAGCCAACGTTTCCGGTATGGCTTCCAGGTTGTTTCATAGTGCTGCGAAAGAAGCAAACGAGACAGAGGACGAAGGGGATGAGGAGGAAGATGAAGAGGCGAAGGAAACAGCTAAGGCAAATGACATGGAAAATATTAAATCAGAATTAAAAGGAGCTAAACGAGGTTGGAAACTTATACGGAGAAATGTTAATGAAACTGCGCTTGCGGAACATACAAAAGAATCAAAGCTGAAATGGACAATGGTACGACATCATGTGACTCGAATGACGGATTTGGAAAAGGCCCGACAGGACCTGTACGAGAGGTATGGAATAGTACCAGTGGAACAAGAGGATGGTTCCATGCAGTGTAAGAACGTCATGTGGAGTAAAAGGGCTATATCATTGAACATGACACATCCTAGTTTTTACAAAATTCCTTCCAAGTCGGACGGTAAGAAAAAGAAAGGTCGTGTGCAGAGTGCTCGCCCTGCCTCAAACATTGCTAGGCCTCTTACTTCTAGTAAAAAGATGAATACTAAAATGCTGCCTAATAGGCCAGCTTCAGAAAGTAGGATTCTAAGGTGACGTGCGGATGTAAGAATATTGAAAATTTGTACAAGACAAAGATGTGCTTAGCTAACAAATGTCATAAAGTCAGAATGTATTTGTGATACCAATGCAATTGTTGGAATTACTAATGAACTATTGCTGCATTGGTTTCAACCCAGGTATATAAAGCTATTAGACTCCAATGATCCGTTATGTAAGTTTATACACTCATTATTAGTGCTCAAAACATTCATATCATGCAATCGTTTAAAACCTCGTGACACGACAGTAAAGACATTCTTTATATATTTATAATAACTATACATTTATGTTTTGTATACTCCATTAAGATTGTTTACCTGATCATGATCGAACTGTAGAAGCTTGCTATCATAATTCGCGTTCACTATTATCAACTTTTTTACTCACGAAAATAAATATTCCTCAACTGAACAAGTGTTTGGTATATTATAAAGGTTAAAGTGCTCTGTTAAGGCATACGTTTTAGTTTTCTGTACTCTGGTTCTGATTTCATTTGTTGAATTTTAATTACAAATCACATTCTACTACTGACTAAGTCAATATATCAATTTGTTAAATATTTCTTTAGCACAATTAATAAATTACAATAAAAGACTTTCTTACTATGTTAACTGATGCGTATGTGTCTATGACCATTGAATTGTCGAAAAACGATTGATGTCAATATATGTTAGTCTTGTCCTGTTTGGATTGTATTTCCAAATTTTGAAGATCTACTTTTAAATCTATAGGCAATTTGTGACGAAGACTGAATAGTTATGTCACAGTCTGTTAAGTCTTTAAGACTGAACAGTATAACATAGCAACATATGTTTTCATACCCGACTGAAGAAAATCAATTATTGATGTAACTGATAATCGGCTCTATTTCAACGAGCATTAACAATTATCAACAGTACACTTTGATGATAATAAGCATATCATTACCGAACATCATAGTGAGGTCACATTTATTTTATTTCCACAGTAGCACCTATCCGGCCTACTTTAAAACTTGTTACTCTGGAACTTATACTTTGATATTTTTTAATCGCTATCAAAACATTACTTCTAAACACCACTAAAGACTTTTTCTATAGATCTGACCGTACATATGTAGTCCTTTTTTATATTTAATATTTAGTAAGAATACAACTGTCAGACATTGATGATTATGTTGCACGGCCCTTTGATAATTCAGTTGCCATTGCTACCTTTATACAGATGCTGTATTCCGACGCTGTGGTATACATGCTTCTAAATATCATATGTTCTACATATATCTAAAATAAGACAAAGTACACTCTGGCCCCTTACCTGGCCTATTGTTACATACGGCACACGCCATTGTGTCCTCGGGAGAGGATTACATTACGCAGAGGACGTTCCGTGGATAGCCCATTTGTACAAGGGTATTAGATTTATAAGATTTATTGTTCTCATTACATTGGATAGTTTTCTACCTGATACGTTTAAAGTGGATCAAGCTGTCCTTAACATGAAGACAGATTTGTTACATCATTGTTATAAATCAAATACCCTTTTATTGTTAATAAAACTAGAATTTGATTAAAATCTGTCAGTTGTATGTGATGAAATACAAACAGTTTACACGATACATGTTGATGGCGGTCGTTGTTCTTATCGTCTATATGTATGTTAATGCCATGTTTATAGTCTCATTGATGATAAAAGCTGGTATGATTATCGTTTGCATAAATAAGGTGATGAATACGTTTGGGTTTTTTCATAAACGATTACCGCGAACAATGAGAACATGTGTCAAGTATTTAAAGCTCAAAACATGGAATTGTTTATGGTTGTTGTAGAGCTTGTTTATGATCTCTTCATATTGCTCGCTTCCTTTATCCATAACACGCATAAAAAAATAAGACACTGGTACATCATGTCAAAGCAATTGGATGTTTAGATGTTGAACAGAGGCCCAATTAACGTAATATCACGTGAAAGATAAGTATTAAACGGCAAATCGGTCGTTTTCCCCCTTGTAAAATAACATAAATTAAGAATATTAAATTTTTTTGCCACCCTAAGCATACACAAAATAAAAGGATGTATTGGTGATACCAAATAAAATAAAATCAGTTCAGTTGGAAAACGAGTAATCAATTTGTATTAGCTTAGTGAAGTATAACCTGTAAGCTTTACAAAGTACATAAAACATGTACCGGCCGGGAGATATGCATTACTCATTCTGCACAGGTTCAGTATAGGGGAAGGTTTGACACACGTACGTATATATTTATGCTCAAAAGTACATGTTTTCATTAATATTAATTGAGGGTTCAAGTCAATAACTATAGCCTTAGTTTCCATATACAAACACACTTGAAAATATTGACATAGGCAACATAGTATTATTTCAATGTCTGGTTGTGAACAATTATTTCGAAACCACTGAAATGTGACGAACAGACTGCCATTCCAGGGTCAAGGTAATTTGACTTGTTTCACCTAAAGCTGTTGCCTTTGTCCATTACAGTGATAAGATATTTTTATTTCTTCTATTGAGATGTGTAAATAACGGTATAAAGGAAGTCACTGAGAAACTTCAAGAATTACTACTCTTGATTTATGTAAGACACTTACATAATATAGTATAAAATATATGGGTTCTCCAGCAGGTCAAATGACAGTATCGATGGTGTCGTTTGAAGAAAGACGGTAGTATATGTGTATATTTACATCTCAACCCGGACATCATAAACCTTACCCACAGTAAAACAGCGACTTCCCAATCTGTCGATATCCTACCACTGTCTCCACAGTGTGGTATGGATAGTCGATTTTACAATTGTCTGGAAGCTTCCTATGGAACACAAACAATGACTTACATAGAATAGCGTATTTGTCAATATTTATTGATGACGGATTTAGTATTAGGTGGCGAAACCCTTATCAATACTAAACAGATAATTCGTATAATTAACAACCGGAATCTACATTGAGTATAGGCCGATAATCAGGTACAAATTGCATACATTTGTACATGAATAGCAGTATGATAACAATATGATATTAGATACAAATGATTCACTGTAAGAAGTCAGAAATATAAAAGTAACCATTCGAATAGTTACTTATTTTCTGATTCATAGCTGTATTATACAATTTTTCTTTACCTAAATATGCAAAATTCGACTAATATGTTTATTCTGTTTTTTCAAAGCACACACTCGAGACAATATCATATTTCATGGCAGTCTCATCTAAAGATCTAAATAAAGATATTTGTATACAATACGTCTGTAAAGAGATATTCATATCAAACAATTCATACCAGACATCTGTTACAACCACGCATATCAAACATTTCATATCTTACATTCATAATACATGATTTCAAATACACAGTGTGTTCATGGAAAACATTCCAAACACTTCATTCACACCATAGATCTGTAATACCAACATTCATAGTTAAAGATGTCGAATACATATGATTTAACATTACATATGTATTATATATATATATATATGATTTAACATTACATATATATTATATATAGATAGATAGACTAGCTATAGATAGATAGATAGATAGCTTTCACACTATCAATCAATTTATCATACACAAACAAATACCTTAGTATGATAGTTATTAATCTATACACAAGATTTCAATCAATCAATGTCAGTTTAGAACATTGAAATAAAACTGGTCATAATTGTCATGTGTGTGCGTGTTTTTTAGGAAGGAATTGGAGATAGACAGGTCTTTACAAAGACAAACAAAAACAAATAGTAGACATGAGCACAGAGGCAAGAAAAGTCAGAGTATTACGTACAGACAGACGAACACAAGACAAATGTCGACGACATATTAGAGAGAGAGAGACAGGACTTCCAAAAATCAAAAAGTATAAATTAAATTGATATTTGCTTTATTGAAAGCATTTGCTCTAAACCAACTATCAGAGTTCAAAAGATTATTAATAGATACCAATGGGCATAGATAGAAATAACAAAAGTCTATTCAATTTAAGTCAAAATAAGTAAAAGTGTTTCCACAATCTCTGTTGAAAGTTTAAAGAGAAGCATCACCTTTAGCCGTCGCTATGTATTTTTTTGACATTGTGATGGTCTTTTAATAAACTCATCAGAGAATGTATGTTTAAAGTGGTGTCAAGACATCTAGTTTCGTAAATGTAATATTTAATGATGTTATTTATTTCATAATCAATTTTAATGAAAGATTTTTTTTATTTCGCTAGAAACCATAAATTAGTGATTCCTTTCTTATAGTGAAAGGAATCAGAAGTGCTTCTAAGAGGATTTCCAAGTACATTATGAACTTTTTGACATTAATAATATTGTCTTTAACCATCCTAGTTTTCAAGCATCTATAAAAGATTTGATATTGACTCTTTTCAGACTATCTTCAAGATATGCAAAAGTTATATAATTAAGATATCTAGTTTAAACAAAAACAAAAGTTTATATGAATCGTATCATATTCCTGATATAATTGCTTTTCATATATATATATATATGTTATACCACATATATGTCATACCACATATATATCATACCACATATATGTTATACCACATATATATCATACCACATATAAATATTTTTATTTAAATACTTATTTATTACCATCGTGCAAACTCTATTTAATGAAAAAATAGAAGAAGCAATAACTCATCTGTCTACTTAATTACCTTCACTCTTTACTAGACTTAATTGGAGACGTCATGTTAGATGTAACGTAAAAGATCAGCTGAATTATCAAGAGGTCCTAATTTTCACCATTTTATAGCATATGGAAGTAATGATGTGTTTCTCTTTCAATTGATGTCTCCTCTTCAAATCCTATCTTTCATTCACTATACTTAATATGATACTTTGTTGGGGTATGGTCTTATTCTCCTTGAGCTTTTTCAGGAGTTTTCGAGTAAATCTCTGTTTTGTTGCCCTATTTTCATTTCATTTGAGTTTTGATTATTATTATGTTGTCCATTCAACATACTTGTAAGGCACTTTGTTGA